AAAAAAAAAAAAAAAAAAAAAAAAAAAAAAAAAAGAGACGGAAAAACAGAAAAGATTATTGTAAGTTTTTTCTGATACATTTAAATTTCTCTATGTTGTTTATTTTTATTTTCAATTCATTTTTCGTATGCTTTTTTTTGTTATTATTTTTTTAGCAGCAGCAACGATAACAGAAAAAAAAATTCTCTTTTTTTTTTGATTGAATATTTACATAGCTTATTTTTATTTCGAGTATAGTTGGCGGCTTTGTTTTTTAACCAACTTCACATATTAACTGCTGCGGTAACTGTTGGCATTTAAATAAAGCAAAAAAATGAATGAAGAAAATTGGTGGAAAAAAAACCAAGCGATTTTACATCAGGAAAAAATTCTTCAAAAAAAAAAATTTTTTTCTTTTTGCTTTAATTATATTTTTTTAGGTTAAGTAAATCTGTTATAATTTAGTCAAATTATAGTTAAAGTATTGCTTTTTTTTCTTTTGTTATATCAATGCAATGATATCAATTGAACCAAATTGGTTGGTTTATGGCTTTATACTCTGATGCCTTTCCACCACTGTTCGCAGTGTGTCATTGAGTGACAACGGCAACAGCAACGACAGAAGATGACTGTTGGTGCACGAAGACCGGTCGGATGAATGAAAGGAATTAATGGAGAGAAGGAGAAATGAATAAAATTAAAAAAAAGATTTTCTGAAACTCTAATAAAAATTTTTCTGAGGGAAAAAAATTCTTGACTTATACCCAATTTTTTCCTCCACAGTTTTGTCATCATTTTTCATTTGTAAATAACCTTTACTTTATTGCGTTTTGTCATTCTTTCCTTTTTTTTGAAAATACAACCAAACGATGGGTTGAAGCAAAAATTTAAAACGATTTGATCAGCAACATCTTAGGTACATTTTTGTACCGTTTTGAGCTTTCACGGTAACTTTTTTGCTGTCTAATTAGTTAGCGATTTAGCCAAATGGCTGACCGGTTGAGGCTGACTGGTTGATTAACTTTAACTGTGCAAAACTTATCCAAAAAAAAATTTTTTTTTTAAAATTAGAATTTAATTTGAAGGGAAAGAACAGTACAAAAGAATATTTTGAAAAAAAAATTGTATCAGAATAACCTTACAAAACCGTTAAAAAAAAATTCCATTTAATTTATCTGCTTTGTGTTATCCGACGGCGACGGTGATGACTGTTGAACTGTTGAACAAATTCAGCATTTATTCATCGGATTAGCCGTCTTTATCTGCTGTAATTGTCTATCATAAATGGATGACTGTTAGAAAATTTTAAAAGAAGAAAATATTTTTAAATTTTGAAATGTCATCTATTGGAACGACGAAAAAAAAGGATGAAAAAAGTGATATTATTTAAAAGAAAGTTATAAATTTTTAGTGAGAAATTTTTGTTGCTTTTGTGAATCAGAGTTTTTTTTGTTTTGGAAAAGCGAATTTTGACAGTTAATCACTGGCAGAGTTTTATGCAACCTCATCGATATATTGCACAAATTTTGTGGTTCATTTAAAACACTGTATTTCGATTGTTTCATAGTTGGTTTTTTGTGAAAGCTGTCGAAATGATCTTTATTCTTTTCCTTCTCAACTCTTTTTGCATCCTTCTTTAATCTTTTTGTCATTTTTAAATTTGATTATTATACTTCATCCAATGTTGAACTGTAAGAATTATAATAGCAGTCAGAGAAACAGTAATCATAATGCAACGGTGATAACAGTAGCTGCGGCTCCAGAAGAAACAACTGGGATTGATACAGTGAAGTTGGATTTATCGAATTGCAGTAACCGATACATCAGTGTTCACAGTGTTTTGTTGACTGTATTTTTTAAGACCGAACATTTGTGTCTACCGATTTAAACAACACAACATTTTTTTGTCGCTTTTAACAACACCTGTTTTTTTTCTTCTTGTTTTTCCTTTACCATTCTTCCGAGTATTGAAGTACTTTTTAGAAATGTCCCAAATAAATCCGCAGTAACCTGTATTAGGCAAAGAAAAAGGAAGAAAAAAAAACTAAAAACTAGACTAGGTAGTTATTTGTTGAAGGCAATAACAACAAGCAAAGGCTTGTTTTCGCATCGACCGAACAGCAGTGCAGTAACATTGATTTTAGTCATCAACTATTTGCCTCTGCTTTGGAAAATCAACAAATTTCAACCCATTTACAAATTTCCGTTTTAAGTAGTCATTTTTTTTTAATTATTGCTGCTGCTTTTTAAATAAACCGCAAATATTAGCTAATTTAATATTTATATTTATTTCTTTTTTTTTATTTCAGCAAAAGACAATTTTTTTAACCGAAATACTCCTTAACTTCAAAACGATCATTTTGAAGGGACAAGACAAGACATAAAATGAGTGCACGGTCGGCATATGTTTGCCAGTTACAGGTTTATCTATTTTCCTTCTTATTTAATCCGTTTATCAAGAAAAAAAAGAACAATTTATAAAATTATATTTTTTAAACTTAACCAATTTTACAGCTAATTTATTTTTTGAAAACTTTGTAGAACAGTTCAACTGTTTATAGGAGATTGTTTAGTGCTAACATTTTTGCTGAATTATAGGCTCTAAGATGGTGAGGTATTGGTAGGTAACAGGACAAAGAAACTTGATATTAGTTGTTCATTAAGCAATTTCATTTTCTTTTTAACCATATTTGTCAAATTTGTATTTTTTTTTTTTGTCTGCAATCGTTAACTGCTTAAATAAATAACATTAACTGTATGCAAATGCCAGCTGATAATCTTAAGAAACTTTAGAGTTGCAATCTACTGCTGATAGTCCTCGGTTTAGCAGCGGTGGGACTTGCCGGCAGTCAATTCTCCAAAGTTTTTCTGGAGAATTATCGGTAAGAGTTGTTTTATTTTATTTTATTTCATTTTTTTTTTTTGGAACTTAAATGAATTTCAAAATTTTTGACGTAACCAAAGTAGGAAACTTTTTTGATTGTCAATTTTTCTTGAGCTCAAAAAAATAACATTTTTTTTTCAAGTCACATTGTTAATGAAAGTTTTAAGAAGACTTAATTGTGTCAAGCAGTTGGCTGGTATTTTGTTTGAAAACAAAAATAAAGTAGCATTTCGACTGCAATGGAAACAGAACTGATGTACCAAAGATAAGAAATAATTTGTCGTTCAATTTTTGATTTTTGCTTATGTTGGATATAAAATATTACTGTTGTACTGCGTATAGGTTTAGTCGACTGTCACTATTTAAACTAATTTGATCATACTGATTAAACATTTTTTTTTTTTTTGCTTTATAAAACCGAAATTTTTGTACTGTTTTTTTGATGCATTTTTTTTAGAGACATAGATTTGCGGTTACTTAACTGGATATATGTTTTAACTGGAGTTATTGGAATCTATACATTGATACGGAACCATGGAAGTATTGTCACTAAGACACTGTACTGTGTCAGCATTGTTATCGGTATCACAACTGCGGTTTTTTATGGTATTACCATCTACCGAGTAAGTAACAATATAACTTTATTTACTGGTCTTAGCTTTTTTTTTCAACAAATTTAAATATTTTGAATTAAAGATTTTAAAAAAATTGATTGGAAAAAAACCTGCTTTTTCAATAATTATTTTACCAAAGTAATTGTCAATGTTAGACTGTACTGTAGCTTCGCAACTGGGAATTTTTTCTACAAATCAAAAGAAAAGAAATGGTTTACAACAGTGTTTGATGATTTATGCATTTGAAAGAAAAAAAATAGAATTTTTAGGTGGTACAAACATATAAGTCATTAAAATCATTGGAAAATATGTCAGGATTCTATCAGGAATATAGTGAAGAAGCATCCAGTCATGTCATCAAAATAGTAATATGTGCACTAATGATCGGTGTACCGGCATTTGCAGCTCTAACAGCAATTGTTGCAGCAATGTTACTTGATCGACTGATTATTGTAACACAACCGTCGTGGCCTCGACAATCGGTCAGTTGAAAGTTGGAACATTAGTTGAATTTCAGATCAAATTC